CCCATAAACGTCTGGGTTATGATGGTCAATCGTGAGTAACATAAAGAGACATCTGATTACACATGGCAGAATAAAGATAACAAACCTGGTATATCTCATCCAGCTGAACAGCAGCTACATAATCTTCATCGTCCTTGTCGGCAATGTATGCTGAAATGCAAAGACCTGCATATTTTGGAAAGAAATACAGCAATGTGAATCATATCACAACCAGGCAATCACAGCAACATTATTCTCAACTGATTCAGTAGGTTTTCTTTCAGCTTATATTTTTTCTTGAAACATTCCGCTAGTTTGATCACAGCAGGGGCCTTAGCAAAAATGGCAAAAGTCCCAAAAGTATATCAAACAATCAAAATGTAAAAGGCCATGTATATCCCTCACGCATGGATATCATAAAGAAATATTCAGCATATTTCATCCAAGTTCTCTTGTCGTAGTTTCATTTTCCAATATTCTATAAAATCAATAACTCAGTTTCATATACGTCTGCGTTAAGCTACAACAATCAATGATGCCTTGGTTGAAGACAAGAATATAGATAATGCCAAGCAATGTTTCGTGAACATTATAGTCTACCCGAAGAGATGAGTAAAATATAACAAAAATGAGCAAATATTCATTAAGAAAATTACCTTCCAAGGCAAGCAAACATAATTCAGGGCCAGAAAATGCAATGGCTTTGGTAAGATGGTCATTCCCTGCCAACACCCAACAACAGTCAGAGGTGAGTTTAATTTCTCTAATAAAACCATCAAAATGTAGTATCAAACATTTTAGACATCCAACCTTGTTCATCTGATTCTGATTTCAATGGCCAAACTGTGCCGCAGAGCTGTAGAAATTCCTGCTGCTTATGGTACAACAATGCAGATACTGGCAAGGAAGGATGGCCCCCATAAGCCCATAGTAAAGACTTTTCTGGGTCACCATGCAAAGCTATCTTGTTAATATTTTTGCTTTCCTCCTACAGAAAAAAGCCAGAGATATTATTGCGCAACCAGTAGAACAATTTGAAGAAAAAGAAAATGGCATAACTAAACGTAAGCTTACCAGAACAACTTGAACTTCTTCCGGAAAATAACTGTGCAACTTTTTGACAGCTTTAATCAGTGACCAAAAGGAAAACAATAGATACTCATCTGAAGACGAGACCAAACCAGACCAAAAGCATGAATGTTTTTCGATAACTTCGGTGTACAACTGAATCAACACACTGAAAAAAGGTGATCCAACAATTTCATAGAGAATTTTCTTCTCCAATGAGCGAAGAGAATCGAAAAAGCGAATAAAAGAGGATACATCACTCTGGTTCTAGTTACTTTCTGCAAACCACTGCTGATAGGAAAGCCGAAGAACGCCAACCGAGTTGAGAGACTCAAAGAGAGGTTTACTGTAAGGTTTTGACTGGTCATTTGATGCTGCTATATCGATCAATTTGGTGGAATTGGAACAGCATCTGGATCCAATTTGCAGAGGGATTTCAGGTTTTTCCGATATGTAGATATATGATTCCAGATTCGATGCTTCATCTCATCATTCAACATATTGAGAAAACACAGGAAAAACGGACAGTATTGTTGCAGCCTGGAACCAAACCAACTAATCCACCCAAGATAGAGTTGAATATCCTCTTCGGTTGCCTGTTCCATTGTCCAGTTGGCAGCATATAATAGCCTTTTAGAAGCCAAATCATTTTCAATATTTGCTGCACAAGTTGGCCCAATTGTGGCTTTAGGGAACAGGATATTTTTTAACGTCCCAGAATTGATAGTATATATTATTCCCGGTTCCCCAGCAGCCAACCCCCCATTTCTCAATCTGACATTGTCGCTTATTTCAGACTGATGTGATGCATACTGAGCTCCTAGGAACTCCAGATACATGCAATTCTGCCTAACACTAGTTTCTCTTGAGTACCACATCAAGTCTCTCAAGTTGAAAGGCTTCGGCCATCCCCCAGGCAGATACAGACCCCCACCCGTACACGAATGAAGCTCAGAAAGTTCAATATCTGACAAATATGTATCACGCCCAAGATCAACAACTTCTTTTCTATCAGTTACTCCAAGGGAAGAGAGATAGATGTGCTCCCAACTTAGTTGTAAGCTCCACAGTAGTTGATTACCATTCATGAGCAGCAGTTTGAAGAGCTGAACCCACTGTTCAAGCTCAAGATACGTGATTCGTACACCTAAGGTTTGACCATTACACCATGCATGAACATGTGCTTTAGCCATGGAAGCAACAAGCTTGTAACCTGGAATACCTGCCAGAGCAAGAAACCTTTCCACATCTCTCAGCACAAGCTCTTCACTGTTAGAGCCTACCTCATTGAGCTGCCAATGTGGCCCCATCATAAATACCTCAACACCTCTATTCCGCATCGCTCTTGATACCTCCCCAAATTTTGGATTAACAGACAGGAACAAACGAAAGTTAGGGAGTGGAGTAACAGTGACAGGTTCACCATCAATAATCCCACATTCATTTATAGTGATTGATCCACTAGGTTCTACCAAAGAGTTGATTCTATCAAGTACCTGAAATTTAAGATAAATGTGGCAATTAGCTACAATGGAAATTATCAGAGTCGTTTCTAAATTGGTAAAAATATTGCATGTAAACCCACGAAAAATAACATGTGTAAACGAAAAGAAATGAAATCGTAACAAGATATCAATAAGGAAGATTATATTTCCGTGGGGTTACAGAGATTTGCATTTTCAAGGACAACCCACTCTCCATTTTCTATTGCCTTTATCAGCATTCCAGTCACCCATTCAAATTTTGCTGACTGATTTTTCTCGTGAGTTTCCAGCTTCAATATTGTCTTCGTGATTTGGTCCAGATTCTTTTTTGACCAACTAACAGGCAAAAGACCTTCTTCCAAGACCTGTTTCAGGTATTCTACAATCTTAGTTAATTTTGAGAGTGAGTCAGAATCGTAGGAGGATGAAGGGCTTTCCAGGAGGCAGGAATCTATCTTAAATAAAAAAGAAAGCCAGCTGGAAACTAAGCCCTTTCTTTTGCTCAAAAGGGCTGCCTGAGAAGACTGTGATAACAGACTGTTATACTCATCAACAAGATGCTGAACTCGAGCAACAACCAATCTGAAATTATGGAATGCATTGTACTGCTCAAAGCATCCGAGTAGATAAGAGCTGTCAGTCGCAGATGAAAGATTTAATTCATTAAGAGGAAATCCTGTTAACTGAGCTAACATCCTGATCACTGATGTCTTTCCAGAAGACGAATGACCTACTAGGATGCACAACCATTTATTCCATATTTTGACGGATCTCAGGCAAAATCTTCAACTGCTCACTGGAAATATTAGATTGAGTGATTTTTCGTTTAATAGCAGCAGTTCCTACAACTAAGTATCCAGGATTTAGCTGAACCCGCGGATACGGATTTATAACAGGGTTTTTATCAAAAATAGTCTTATAGATACTCAGAACTTCTCTGCGGTCAGTTGCAGTACGCATTCTTTGAACATAGAGAACATTGAGAAAGCTTTCAACTTCTAAGTTATTTATTTCCCCTGAAACGACACAAGAAAAATTAGTCTAAGCAACTACTGTCACCTGGAAATGCTAATATAAAAAATTGAAACGACTAGCTACAACCTTGCATAAACTGGCATGATCTTATCACATCACGTAGATTGAACTCCCAAGGTGAGCCATCGTGACCGAATTTTCGATCTACCATAGTACCATCACGTAACTGTCTATTGAGAGCAATAAGCTTTGAAAGCAATGAACTGGGAATAGATGGGTGAAGCGAGCGACAGATGAAGAGGTAATCATCTTCCACTAGCTCGTCCACATAAACCTGAAAACATTTGAGGGGGAGCCGTTGAAATTTTCATCTTGATTTTAAATTATATTGATATTTGGCGTCAACAGACATGTCATGAGCATCCATGACCACAAAACGAATAGTGGAACATACTTTTGTGAATCGGTTAAGGAAAGACTTGGGAAGACCTTTCCTGCCACCACCTTGAGAAGAAGGATTCTGACATGCAAAAACTCTAAATGTCGGGGGACACTCAAAGGTACAGCCCAGTTCTGGGATGAAGACTTGAGCACGATGATCCAAAATAGCATTCAAACCCTAGAAAGATGAATATTTCTTAACAACTTTCACTAGAATAAAAAATGTGGAAAGGCAACAGAATCTAACATGTTCTAGCACAGGAAACGCTTTACAGAAATTAAACTAGCATATTCGCTCACCTCTAGAACAGATTGCGGAGCAAGGTTCAGTTCATCTAACAAAACCCAGGAGCCTTCCTTTAGAGCCTGTAGATATATCAAAATTGAGGGACGGCAATTCTATAAACTGATACATACTTTAACATCAGACGTTCTTAACCTGCAAGAGAATTCCATCAGACCATGCAAACTTCATGTCCTCATCGCTTTCAACAGGTAAATCCGATCCCAGCAAATCCATCATGTCAGTCTGTATCAGAAGAACCAAAGTTATGTTACCAAACAGACAAAGTAGCATACACAGTATTGATGGCTGGTGAAGAATCCAAACCTGCTCTGATAGATTTATGCGCACAACCTTGTGGCCAGAATATTTACCCAACGCCATTATCAGACTTGTTTTTCCAACACCAGGGCTACCTTCTAATAAAACTGAAACGCAAATATAATCCACTATTAAAGACGAATTAAACCTCCAATAATCACCAAGAAAACCAAAACTTATGAGACGTACTTGGTTTCGAAAGCTGCATTGCACGCAATACTCTCAAGACATTCCTGCAGGTGGTTGGTGCTAAGAACTCGAATCCACCAATCTCCGGATTTTCATCACCTGACCAGGCAAGTTGAAAATTTCCAAACAAAATATCATGAAACGTCTAAAATCATGGTTGCTGTACTCTGAGTATCAACATATATACTTTGCAGGAAAAACATGAGTGAGTAGCTCACCTTTACTTATGTAAAAAGGATCGATGCCAAACAAGTCCCCATGTAGAACACTCTTATTTTCTTGACAAATTGCTTTGGCATCACCCCAGCCATATTGTTCCATTCTTGAAAGTTCCAATGGGAGTGTGTCGCTAGTGAGAACCTGAACCAGAAAATTCAGATACTCAGATGGATGCGGACATGATGAGACATTAGTAGTCGAACGAGCATCACTATGAGTTTAAAGGCTAAAGATAATACACTTCACATGATATCAAGAATTTAAAGTTGATAAGAGAACGTTTTTGTTCTATAGCAAAACCAAGCTGCTTCACAGAATATATATTTTGTTTACCCTGATGTAAAAATAGAGAATCTCTAGCTCTCACCGTTTCAATAAATGGGAGACATGACACAAAAACAAAGCAACTAACACCTCTGAGAGTTTATAAGAGTAATACTTTTCAAACATGGCTAGAAATGTTAAATCCTAGAATAACAAAACTGACAACAAAGAACAGTTGAAATCAAAGTAGCACAGTAGAGAAACATATGACGAGTTTGAGTTGCCAAGAAACAGCAAACATAAAGGGAACCATTGTAAATTTCAGAATAAATATAACAATTATTACCTGAAGTTGTTGTAATAGGAAAGCGAAGCACTTTTCTCTCAGATCTTTACCATCTCTCCCAGAGAAACCAGTTCCTTACAAAATATAAAAGATATTGGTTAAAAAAAGAGGAAGAATCAATTATACACACTGAGTTACGAACTACGAAAGCATTACCACTCAGACTCAGCTAATGAAGATGCAATACCAATATAATCGACACCCAAACTCAGGAAATACCACAACAGAAACTGAGTACAGCAATCAAATGGGAAAGACCTACCAAGACTTAGACCATCAAGTAACACGAGAAATGCTCCATGAAGAATAGCATATGCTGGTCCTAAACTCTGATTTATCACGTTGACAAACGTAACCCAAGAGAGGAGATCTCTGACAGTAAGCGTTCTCCCAGTCTGCAACCCGTTAAACCACTGCAGCAAAAGAATATGCATTGAATCTACAGACGCACAAAACTTATAATACGGTATAATAATTAAGCATCATATAGCTTTGACATTAACAGCTCAGAACGTTTGTTTTTTTGCCTGATAAGAGAACATGAAGAAAGTGAGACGGGATATTTTTCAGAAACAAATAAAAAAGAGACAGACCCGAAAGTGATACAGGTGCTCAATGATAGCACACAATTTAAGAAACCAAAACTATTGATTGATCCAGCAATCAAATTGTTTTCAAACAGCACAAAACTTCGAGATGTGTGGCCGTGTTCATGTTGGTATACAACATTGTGGAGACCACTATAAAATACAAACCCATTCAAATTTTTATATTATAAATCTCAACGAATGAGTTACATTCAGGATCACAGAATTGAGTAGAAAAGAAGATTACGAGAGATAGAAAAGGGAAATTACCTCCCAGAAGTTGATAATGGGATCTATGATATTAGATTCTTTTGAGTTGGAAAGGCTACAAAAGAAAATTATCAGATTAGCAAAAACATATCACAAGTTCCCTTTTGAGCATTTCAGGGACACGCATACCCAGAAAAAGCAATACTTCTAAGCTCCTCAGTGTCTGCAATAGGGGTGACCCATATCTCAGTAAAACGGTTACGAAGTGCAGGTGACAATTCCTTCTTTCCATAATCACCACCCGGGTTCATGGTGGCAAGAACAGAAAAGTTTTCATGAGCTACAACTTCCTCCAAGACAGGACCACCTTTCTCAGCTAACGACTACAAAGATAAAGAGAATATGATTGCATATGAGTGGACAATTGAACAGACATCAAAACTCTTGAAAGAAAGAAAACCAGCACAGATAAAGAATGGAACTGATGAAAATGAAAGCAGGGTTTTAGTGACATGATTGTGAACTAATCGCAGTGACTGGCAACAGTTCACATGGTCTAATGACGAGCATGCTATAACAATCCACCTCCCCCTCCCCCCCTTTTTTTCTCACTTCCATATTTCAGTAACTCTCACACAAATATACTCACCAATTCCCTGCCTGGCTCCAACAAACTATTCAGTCTTTCTAACACACTATCATCAGCCAAAGATATCTCATCCACAAGAAAGATATTTCCAGCTCTCATCGCTTCCACAAGGGGCCCATCTTGCCATACAAAAATTGCGCGCCACTTTTGATACAGCATCACCATATTGTTCCTTATATGCTCAAGAACATCAGCAATTTGCAGTGTGGCCGCCACTCCTATTACTGACTCATTTTTGTACTTCGCCAGCTTTGCCTCTATTGATTTGATTGAAACTTCAGCACTACCAATATCTGCAGAAAGATCCTGCACGTAACATGTTCCAGGAAATATAGCCTCCACGTTGAGAGAAAGATGGGTGAAATACCAACATCKATGGTGGGTATTAGGATACTTACAATATTTTGGCCAAAACGCGCCAATATCTCAGAGCGCTTCAACAGGTTGACTTGATTCTCGTATTCCGTGACTAATTTGGATCTGTCTCTCACAGGAAAGAACCCCTAAGAAAGAGGCTGAGATTAGAAATTGTAGGGGAAAAAAAGGCCAGTGTACATTAGAGTCTGGGATATAAAAGATAAGCCTACACCAAGGAAATCAGATGTTTCTGTGTATTGATGACAGTTAAGGATGTGCAATCTTAGCTCCTTATAATCGCTTAGTAGTTGGCAGATTGTTGTTTTGCCTCCTCCAGTTTCACCAACAAGAAGAACAGGCTCACGCAGTTTATAAGAACGTTCGATGAGAAAAAATAGTCTCCACATACTTTGAGTCCACGTGATTGTTCTGTTTTTCCTTYTATAAAGATTGAAAATAATAGCACCATAAAATTCAGCTCAGAGTGTCCAAGATAAAACATACAAGCCTGAAAAAATTTAATTCAATAATAGAAGAAATAGGAGGGGAAGACACTTACATGGAATCTTTTCTATAATGAAATGGTTGATCCAACTTTAGAAAATCCTGGGGCAAAAAACAAGTAAAACAGAACAGAAAACCATTATCTATGTCAGAATACCGTAAGAAATAACAAAATTTAGTAATGATGCAGTGATAGTACAACTTGGATTATTATGCAGTAAGACCAACAGCTTCCGTGAAACAATAATATATCATAACGAAGATTAGTGGATCTGAGAATGCAAACGATCAAGAACAAGCAGTTCACTGTATGACACAGCTACATCCAGCAAATATATGAAGTTAAAAGACCAACAATATAAACTAATTTTAGGCAACCTAAAATGAACGAGTTCCAAGAAGTGAAGACAACTTAGCTAGATGCATGACACGCTGTTGCATACATCAATAATCAAAAAAAGGTTTTCATAACTTACAGATCATCTTTTGGAAGTCTGACCCGGAAATGTCTCTCCAGCACCTCTTTAACAACTAACTTCTCAGTGTCATCACGCAGCCTTTCTGCAAGGAGGTAATACCCTTCTCTGGCTAGTTCTTCATTAGATMTACCTTCATAAGTCCTAAAACGATCTGCCCACCGGAATAAATCTCTTGGAGTTATATATCCATGTTTTCCAGCAAAAGCCTGCCTATTGCGTTGCAGGTCTTTCATCACTTCAACCATTTTCGTAGCATAACTTTTTGCAATAAGACACTTTTCAGTAAGAATTTCACTGAGTTCATCTTCTGGAATTTCATCAACATGAATCTCCACAAAGCGGTTACGAAAAGCTCGAGACAGTATTTTGCGTCCACCATATAAAGCAGGAGGGTTCTGTGTAGCGAAGAGCATGAAATTAGGATGCGCGCTGGGACTGTTTCTTGCAGCTCAGGCACAAAAAGCTCCCTATTGTCATCAAGCAGTCTGTTTAGTGCCTCTAAGACATCAGATGGGGCTAAATTTAGTTCATCCAAGACAATCCAATGCCCATCCCTGACAGCCTTCACCAACGCTCCTTCATGAAATACAAGCTTCCCTGAAGAATCAGTCATATAGGAACCTAAATATTCTCGGAGATCGGTCTGCTCATGATTATTGATTCGAACAAATTTGTTTCCACTTATTGCTGCGAGATATTTGACAAGGCTTGTTTTTCCACTGGATGTTGGTCCTTGTAAGAGAACAGGATATTTTTTAATAAATATGGCATGCGCCAAGCGATTAAGGTGTTCAATTACACTCTTCGTCTTAACATATTTCTCCACAAATATATCACAACTGCCTTTTAATTCTCCCAAGTATCTTTGAAGTGGTTGGCCTCGGTTACTTTCCCTTGAGATACGTTGTAGTATTATTGGGTTCATGATCTTAGCACTGGAAGCATCCAATAAGGAGAGGAAAAACATGGAAAAACCATCGCACGGTAAAGAGACCTTAAGCTATATATTGTGGCTTCTGATTAGCACCATTCTGCAAGCATTCTTCAGATAACCTTTTAGCTTCTTTGTAAAAGCAAACAATGTTGCCTACTAATTTACTGTCAGATTCACGTCCACCTAAGAATCGCCTCACAAATATCTCCAGGTCATCATCACACAAGTCATCATCCACAGCATACTCTGTAAATCTGCTACGGAAAGAGAACGGCAAGTCTCGCTTACCGGCATCCGTGGCTGGATTCATACAGGCAAACAAACGGAAATTTGAATGTCTGGGAATGCCCATTACATCCCCTCTCTCAGCTAAACCCAGTGATCCTCTCACTCCTTCAAGAACACCAATAAGCCTGCCCAATATCTCCGGTGGAGCTAAGTTTACTTCATCTAGTAAAACCCAATGCCCCTCCCTGAGGGCAGTCACAAATGCACCTTCAACAAATGTAAAAACCATTCCACCTGAACGAATTTGTTGATAAATCTTCTCCACTTTTTCGGAAAGACACATCCAATTCTGTTCCGATTTCTTCCTCTTTTTACCTGTTCTAAACATCGCTAACACAGTTTTCGTAGTTCTCTTTAACCCCCTCAAAAGTGTATCCCACTTTTTGGCTCTAAAATTTACTTGCAGGTCTTTCATTACTTTTGAATCATCCTGGACACCAAAAACGAAAAGGACGCATGACTTAAGCAAAATGCTAAATTCATTCCGAAACATAACTGGTTAGGAACAAGTGCAGGAGGAAATCTACGAGAGAGTTACTTAGTTTTAAATGTAAAGCTACCTTAATCTTCAAATCTCTTGCCAATTCATTGTACAGCATTGTGCACATAAGCTTTGCATCAATAGGCTTAAATCCTCCCAATAGATCAACTATATCACTTTGCTGGCTCAAATTCTGCATAAAGGAAAATTAGAAATTATAGAAAACCACTACGCTAAACAGGTCTCTAAAAGAATGTATGTCAAAACAAACCAAAACAGTGAGTTTCTGTCCGATCCAGTGTGCAAGATTTTGAACTAGAGTAGTTTTCCCAGTCCCTGTTTCTCCTACTAAGAGAACTGGCTCGTTGTACTCGACAGAGCGAGCTATTTTCTCAAGTAACTGTGTTGATGTGCGTGTTTCAACAAACCTCGACCGATCATGTGACTGAAAAAGAAAAAAAGGCATCACAATAAGAGGCTGTAACAGATGAATATTTGTATCAAAAGGAAGGAGATGCTTAAAACTAACCGCAGTTACATCAAGTGGAAGAGAAACTCTGCCAATTTTTAGAATCCCAGAAAATTCCTGCAGTTCTGTGAGAAATTAAGAAACAACCTCTAAGCAGCATAGACAAAACACTGTCAAGAACACTAAGGTACCTGAATTGGGGGCTTATGCTGAGATTCCGGAACGGCAACATTCCAAATGCTAGCCACAATTTCAAATACTGTCACTTGATTTTGAGTTGACATATAAGACGCAGAGAATATATCTGCTGCCTGAGGAAAAGGCACACAAATGCCA